TCCCCTTTTTCTTTTATGGTCGTGTGCCAGGGTATAACCTGTACTAGGTTTGCTGGTTGGATGTGAGGTGATCAACACCTCTTTCTTTCCTTTTTTGTGTGGTCGACTAACCCCTGTATAAATTGTAGGTCGTGAAGACCTTTTGTGTGTTGCAACAACTTTTATGGTGCACTGAAGGTTAGAAAGTAACCTATACTTGTTGTAACAACATTTCTGTTGATGCGTAGGTCAAGAGATGACCTGTACGCACTGTGACAACACCTATGTTTGATTCTGTAGGTCAAGGGATGACCTGTTAGTGCTATAACAACACCTGTGTTTTACAGAAAAGGGTTGTGTTTCCGAAGAAAAAAAGGGGTTCCCTTTCTCCCTTGGTGTTAAACTTTTTTTTAAGGTTTTGTGCCCACTTTAAGAGTTTTTTAATCTGTAATAATGAGTGGTGAAGATTTTGTTACATCCAGTGTTTCCACAATGCAAAATGGAATGAGTGGGGGTGTGGACCTATCCTTTCCCATGGTTGTTATTCCTCTTGATGGCTTAAATTATTTAGAGTGGTTAAGAGGGATCAAGATGTACATCACTGGAAGGGGAAAGATAGGTTACGTAAATGAGAGAATCAAAGAACCCAATTCTGGGAGTGTTAAATATGACAAATGGAATTAGGAAAACAGCATGGTCATGTCTCTACTTTTAGTGTCTATGCAACCTTAAATAAGAAGGAATTTTATGTGGGCTAAAACAGCAAATGAGATTGAAGTGAATGATCTAGGTCCTCTAAGATACTTTATTAGGATTGAAGTGACCCACTTACAAAAGGGTATCTTCATTTCCCAAAGAAAGTATGTCCTAAATCTACTCCAAGATATAGGAAAATTGGGAGTGAAGCTAGTTGATTCCCCTATTGATCATAACCACAAACTAAGCGACTGTCAATGTGAACTCATCAAGGATGTGAAATAGTTCTAGAGACTTGTAGGGAAAATTGTTATATCTTTCTATGACTCGACCAAACATAGCTTATGCAGTGGGTGTTCTTAGTCAGTTCATGCATGCCCCTAAAACTATCCATCTTGAAGCAGCAGAAAGTTTACAAAAAAAAAAAGAAGCAACAGAAAGAGTTCTCATATATCTTAAGAAGTTCCTAGGTGCAGGCTTGTTGTTTTAAAAGCATGGGCATCTGAACATTGAAGTGTATACTGATGTAGATTAGGCAGGATCCTTGAGTGACAAAAAGTCAACTAGTGGCTACTGTACCTTTATAAGAGGTAATCTAATTACTTGGACAAGCAAAAAGCAAGATGTGGTAGCTAGATCTAGTGCTAAAGCTGAATATCGGGCAATGTCTCATGGAGTGGCTGAAATTATGTGGCTAAAAAATTTGTTGAGTGAGTTGGGTTTTCTAGTTGTCAGCCTTATGACTTTATTTTGTGATAACAAAGTGGCCATAAACATTGCTGCTAATTCAGTGTTGTATGATAGAACTAAACACATCAAAGTCGACAAACACTTTATTAGAGAAAATATTGTCATAGGGGAAGTTTGTACTCCTTATGTTAGTTCTAAAGATCAACTTGCAAACATCTTTATAAAAGGGTTACACCACTCGCGACATAATGATTTATGTGACAAATTGGCATGACTGACATTTATGTCCCAACTTGAGGGGGAGTGTTAAAAGACTATTAATCCTCTAAGTATAGTACCACAGAGGTACTATTGTAATTTTCTCCTTTTATTTTTTATATCCTGTCGCACTAGTATATATACCAAAAGTTGGCATCGACAGAAACTCCAAGAGTAGTAGAGTTTTTCAATCACTCTTATAAGCAGCTAAGTTTAGAAATGTGGCAACATTAGGAGATTGTGTCATTAATTCAATATGCTCCCCTACCATTGATACAATAAATACATTGGCTCGGTGCAAAACACTTCATGGCAACTTTACAGTTTCATTTGCATTGAAGATAATTGAAGCAATCCTGCCTAGTTCCTCCACATCCTTTAGGCTTCATTTGGGAGTGATGCAAATAAGTGTGAATGCAAATATGTAGAGTATAAAACGGTCCACATAAATTGCAAAATTGGGTTAGTTTTGCACCGATAAATTTATCTTCTTACCAAATAGTCTTTTAGTTATAATGGATGCAAACACGAATTCCAATAAAGCATATGGCTTTTTTTTTATCAAAAGTTCACTTGAATGCAAATTTACTTCTTTTTTTATTGATGTACTTTTTACATCTCATTATCGACGTGAATATGCATTGAAAAATATATTTTCTGTCATTTGTCAATGCATAAATACAATGTTACCAAATGTAGACAAAAGTGAACCACAATACAAATTTACCCTAAACCGAGATTTACACTTCATTTGCATCCTTTCCAAATGCAGCTTTATTATCTTACATGATTTGCAATAGAATCACCTTGGTCATAAAAGCTTTTATCTCTATCAATCAAGCTATTTTATGGCGTTGTGCACGTAATATACTGTCAATGGTTGAGCTGTTATGGAAACACAATATCCATACTGATACAAGATGTCTGTTCGGTCATAATACACAAGATACTAAAATGCATTCTTTATTATTTTTTTTGTCATTCAGTTCAAACTATTTTGGCTTGGATCATGCATGAATTTCAGACCAAATATTTTTCAATTTACAGACATTTAGGCACTTCTCTATTTTTAGTGGCAGCGAGATTTCAATTCAATTCTTTGGCAGATGGATATTTATCCGAGGTGGAAATATCATGAAACATATTTGGCACACCTTTTGATTCGTTGTAGTCATATGCAAGGCTTAGGCTGAAATTGCTTGGTGCTTGAGTCTTTCAGAACCCATGAGTTTTCCATCTTCTACACCATTGGCTCTTGGATTGACAGAAATGCAAATATGTACGGTGTAAATACATACAAAATATAAGGTTTTACATTTTATATATTTGCATTTATATTCCTTCCAAACTGAACCTTAATTTCTTAGATTTGAATGTAAATGCAACGTTCAAACTGGGTGTAGGATCGCATTTAATTTCTTAAATTTGAATGTAGATGCAGCGTACAAACTGGGTGCTGCATCTGTTGGTCTGGTTCTTCGGGACCATGGTTTTTAAAACTGACCCGGTGACCGAACCGGTCAGGGGTCCGGTTAATGGGTTGAACGGTCTGACTGTTTGAACCGAATGCTTGACCTATTCTGATTAAAAAAAATGGTCAAAACCGTTCAAACAATTAACCACCTGGTTCAACGATTCACTGACCAAAATCAATGGTTTTGAGGAAAATTCAATTTTTGAGAAAAACGGAACCGAACATTCCCAGTTTTTCTGGTCCGATCCGATTTTAAAAACCGAGTTCAGGACCATAACGGTGCTTTTTTGTTAGCTAGAGCTTTCCCTGTGTGGGAGCTCTGTCATGACTGAAGGAATGGCTCTCTCTCTCTCTATATATAAAGGTCTCTTATTAATTCAAGAGCTCCAGTTATCAAATGTTATTATTGAAGGTGATGTTTGCAGTATTTTCCAATTCATCTTGGTGGATGCTCCTATCCAATGTGGCCGTGCAAAAGTCTATTATGTCACTTTTGTTCATGCTCAGTGAGTTGTATGTGCCAGACGACAAATGTTGCTGCTCATTTAGTTGTCAAACGGGGTTTATCTCTTTCTCTTATGGACCATTAAACCTTTTATTTATTTATTTCTTCTCGGGTAATACTATTGCAAAGAACCAACGAAATCTTGCCATGGGCTTTTCCATAAAAAGAAAAATAAAAAGAAAAAGAAAAAGAAACATGGCCATGCTATGATGCTAAACGCCCAATTGCCAACTAATTTGGGAGTCAGATGGCCCGATGGGTTAAACTCAGTTCTAGGGGTGTCTACAGTTAGGTTAATTGAACTATGGGTAATTTTTGCAAATTGAACCAGTATTATTGGTTTTTCCATTTCTCTAAATTGAAATCGAATAGAAAACACGGTTAACCAGTCCATCGGTTTTGGTTTTTGACTGGTTTGGTTCTTCGATTTTTTGGTTTTTTATATTTATAATATATTTTATAAATATATGTATAATATTATGTTTTAGATAATAAATGATATATAATATATTATAAATATTATAAAAATATATAATATATTTATAAATAGATTATTATAAATATAATATATGTATATATTTATATATAATATATAGAAAATATGTGACATATATTAAAAATATATAAAATATACATATAAATATATATACTAGTCGGTTCGATTAACCACCATTTTTTTTGTAGGTTAATCGAAAACCAAACCAATCCTTTGGTTTTTCAAAACCAAACCAAAATTGAACCGATTAATTCAGTTAACCACATTTTCTTGTTCAATTTTCTTGGTTCAGTTCAGTTTTTCATGGACACCCCTACCTAGTTCCTGCCCATGGGCAAAAAATGTAGCTAAGGCTGTGTTTGGTTGTAATGCAAGTTTATTTGCACTAGTACAAAAGCATGGAAGTGCAAATGTAAATAAAAACTACAAATTCTTGTTTAATTTTGTTTTGGGTTTTACTTCATTATGCTTAATGTCTTAATTTACTTCATTTGTACTACAGTCAAACAAAATAAGCTAAAATTTAAAACAAAAATATTGTAGAATTCTTAGTTCCACTACAATCCTAAACAATTCAAAGTGACAAATACCCCCCACACTAAAACACTAATGCCCGCCGTAGAGCTGAGAATTCTTAAGGTGTACTTTATTATTAATATTTAAGTATACGAGTATATAGTTACCTTTTTGTTTTTTTCACGCGGATGTGTGAATTGGATTGAATCGGATTTTATCGGATCATAGTGCATATTTGATCCAATATAAACGGATCGAATTCGGTTACCCTTAACAGGATCGACTTCTATTCGGATAAACGGATACCTTGAAGCCCCAGATCCGAATTACCCGCCCGCCCGTGTCAGAAAGGAAAAATGGTGGAAGAAAAGGCGAGAACGGTTTTACGAGCCGGTCAGTACTTGACACTGCAATGTGCAATCCCTCTCTCTTTTTCTGTTTCTCCCCTTGCAGAGTTACGCCGGTTAGATCTTTTTAAGAGTTTCGGTCTGCGTATTAGAGCTGGTACGAATTCCTTCCCTCTCTTCGATGTATACATTTGACATCGTTAGGGTTTGTATTACAGTTAATTTAATTTATTTATTATGAATAAACTTTCTTTCTGGTATGAATTTTATTGGCTCACATGACCTCATCTAGCGGGATTTTCATACAATTTAGGTTTCTCAAGTTCATTTCTCTATCTTCTCGTCCTAAACTCATACCTATAATCGAATTTAGGGAATATAGATAAATGAACAAATAGAATAAAAGAAGTAGAAGGCGGAAGAAGAAAACCTTTGAAGTTGAAGGTTGTTAGGTATCTTACAGTTTTGACTTTTTAGAAGACGAATTTCGTCATTCAACCATTCCGGGCCGAAAGTTTGCAGGTTCGTCCCTCTTGCGACTTTCTTCGGTCGAATGCAATTTGTTAATTTCTTTAGTACCTAAAGAGAGAAAAAGTTAGGGCCACTCAAATTTGTTTAGTGTCATGGGTTTTATGGAGCATTTAAAATAACAACTTCAATATCTTTACGTGAGAAAAAAGGATGTAGTTTGACAATAAGCTTGGATGTATAGAAAGTATCCGGTTCTTCATAATGTTAGTTGATTGTGTTTCGTGGGGCGTTATTTATATTGGAACTTAAGCCAAGACAAAATGAGGCCATTTGACAAGTTAACTTTTTTTTTTGCTTATTTCTCTCTTGTCTGTGCTCTAATTCCCCCCTCCCCCCACAGGAACCTGTTGGATCAATAGTTGCTGGACTTGGATCTGTTTTAGTGAATAACATCCCTAAAAACCGAAAATGGTTAGTTATCTGTATCTTATCTCCACTTCAGTTAATGTGCCAGTGAGTGTTTTTTGCAGGCTCATGCATATATGTATGTATCCATCTGTTGGTGTACGTATGTATGTATTATGCGTTTGCATTGTTTTTATTGATTCTCTATTTATTCTCAGTTATCTCCCTAAATGTGTTTATTTACTTCGTTGATTCTATGTACCTATTCTGTTGTACATCTAGTTCCACGACCAGTACATTCAAACATTCTAGGTGCCATTTGGCAAGTCGTTTTAGGGAGATCTTCCAACAGCCTAGATGGCCAAAAGATGTATCATGTAATTAGCTTTTGGGGTAAAGATATAGACTGTTTGGTAAATATCCTAGTCTACCATAATCTATAGAGCTGTTAAATGAAAGATTTTAGGTGCAGAAAGACAGGAAGTTTCATTTGAAGCTTCCAGATTTTTGGCCATTTTGGGATTCCATGAGCTTCTTAGGGCATAGGTCTTTCTGGCTTCCTGTCTTTTATTGCCAAACAAGAAAGACCAAACTTTGGTTTTCCAAAATTTGAAAAGCCCGAAAGACCACACGGAAAGGCTTGCTAAATGCCTCCTTAGTCTATTCTTTTTCCAACTGTTAGACATTCGGTATGGATTTTTCTTCTTTAATATGTATATTTGTTTTTTTTTTCCATCAAATTGAGGCTGCAGTGAAAAATATATTCCATTAGCATGGTGAATGGACAATATCTATTAGTCATGATCTTAACAGGAAATTTTGAGGTTAGTTATATTAGGCACATTGTCAAAACTAGTCTGTGGTACTGGCTATCCTGTGATAGCAAGGTTGTCCTATGATCTAATTTCAAAGGTGGGCTCTTTTTTTGAAAGAAGGTAAAATATAACTGTATTAAAGCAAAAAAAAAAGGTCCTTTGTACAATCAGAACCTGTACAAGAAACCGCCAAGTGATTATCCATTCAATAAATTACACCAAGTTGAATGGTGGTCCTCAATGCTGATAGACAGTATATCAGATTTCAAAGCTGGAGTTTTTTGATCATGGCATCTGATCCACTCTTTTTGAAGTTCAGTTGTATGGAGTAACTTTTGTTCAAATGTTTGGATAATGTGGTGTACTTAGCTGAGCTTCATGGCAGATTGTCCCTTGATGCAGCTAATTAGTAGAAGAATGACTAAGCCTTGCAATTTGCAATTTGATTTCACACAAGATTCTTAGGATTTGGACTTCATGTCTAATATTGGCCTACTTAACTTTGATGACTCATAACACTCTTGTGCTAAATGATATAAAATTTGGGAATAAAAGAAGGCTAATAATAAGAGTGTAGGGAAGGAAAAATATAGTGCTTGTGGATGATACAGATAGAATCACTCTTGTAAATTTACTTCTTTTAACCTGATGGTGCGTGATCTGGATACTCCTAGCTGGAAGGCGATCCAAACTCCAATTGGGCGGCGAGCTGGACCGATCTGCAAAACAGTGGATCAGAGAACCCAGGGCAGCTATCCCGATGACGAAATCGGTTGAACGCGCCCTTTGGCGTCCGCGGAATCTATAAATAGTGTGACGTCTGCGCGTGCTCAAGACGCGACCTGGGTCATTTCGTGGTTGAGTCAGATGGTTGAACAGGCCCGACCAACGGTTCGCCCTCCAAATTGACTAGACCTCGCACCAAATCCACCTGGACTCTTCATGAACTCCCCGCACTGGGTTAGGACCCCTGGCACGAGGAGTGGGGGCCAATTGATGAAGGGTGATTTGGCATGACCTAGCAAGAAGGGGACACGTAGGCGCGATCTGATCGAGGGGTGACAACTCAGCCAGGCAAGCCCAGTTTGCAACATTCGGAGTTCGGGTATTCAACCGGCCCAAAAAACCACCTCGGTGTAGAGGCACTTCGACACCCAATCCAGTTCGGGACTAAAAAATCGAAGTGCCATCTTGGAGCTAATGAGCCGAAACGTCACTTAACCGACTCCAAAGGCCTCTCCAACAGATCCCGAATTTCTCGAGACCACGATGAGAACTCGTCCTAACTCCGCCTGAATCGGAGGTAAAACAATAAACCTTATCAACATAATGCTCTCCTTCAAAAACGGAACAAACCTTATCTGCACAGTCCGGAGATCTCGGAGATCTTTCGTAAGGCCCACGACTACTCCAATATATAAAGACATGGAGCCTCAAGGCAAAAGTACGCGTGATTATTCTACTCACTAGCACTCAAGTTCTCAAGCATTCAGCTCGCATTCACAACATAAGTACTGACTTAAGCATCGGAGCGACCTTGCCGGGTTAGCTGCCCCGGGTTCTCTGATCCACTGTTTTACAGATCGGTCCAGCTCGCTATCCAATTGGAGTTCGGATCGCCTTCCAGCTAGGAGTAGCCAGATTGCGCACCATCAATTGGCGCCGTCTGTGGGAAGACGATCGAAAGGTTATCCCTATTTCTTTACAATTTCAAACTCAATCTTAACCTCAATGGCATCTTCTAACCACACCGGAAAAAGTATCGAGATGAACGTCACCGGGAGGTAAGTTCAGCAATCAACCTTCCCCCAAGGTCCTACGGTATGCATCGGCCAGTTCACTATTCCGCTCACAGTGTTTGGAGTTCCGTCACTGTCCACACCACAGAGCATTGCGCAAGTGAGCGTCCCAAGACTCTCTAGATCGATGCCTCGAAGTGTCTCGGTGGCAGAGACTGGTATGTGGACGTCTCCTCTTTCGGGGCAGCTCGTTCGTTGGTATACTCCACTGGTCGCTCGAGCTCGACATCCTCTACTAGCTTTACTTTTCCTTTTAGGGCAGCCACGTAGCACTTTCGTGATTCGAGCTGGTCACCTCGCACGACTCCCACTCCGTAATCAGTTGGGAACTTCATCGCCAAATAGTAAGTGGATACTATCGCATGTAGAACATGCGTGATGGGTTGACCTACTATGGCGTTGTAGGGGGAGGGAGTCGCGACTACCAGGAACGTGTGTTCAAATCGCACGATGTTTGGCCATGTGCCGGCTTCCATGGGTACTGTGATTCGACCAAGAGGTCTGACCTCCTCGCCGCTGAACCCTACCAAAGGAGTATCTGCCGATTTCAGGTTGCTCTGTTGTAACTGTAGTTTGTCGAAGGTCAACTTGAAGAGTATATCTGCCGAGCTGCCTGAGTCTACCAAGATGCGTTTTACCTCGAAGTCTTTAATTCTTAGCTTCACCACTAAGGCATCATCGTGAGGGTACCAGATCCCGTGTGCATCGTTCTCAGTGAAGTAGATCGGTTCTTCGAGCCGAGGTTGCTTTGGCGGGTTCTCCCCTTCATTCTCTAACTCGTGGACCGAGGTCCTCTCAGCTGCTGATGTATATCCGACGATGATGGACCCGTCGATGATCATGTTAATTACCCTGTAGATCGGTCTTTCCTTTGGCAACTGTCGCGGTGGTTGCTCATTCTGCCTGTTGACCTCGGGGCCACTCCCCCTCTGGTCCCCCTGTCGATCTGCTTGTCCCCTCTCTTCTCGCAAGATGAAGTTCTTTAGGTATCCGCGACGGATAAGTTCCTCGATCTCGTCACGGAGATTCCTGCAATTCTCTGTGCTGTGTCCATGATCTCGGTGGAAATGGCAGTAAACATTTGGGTTTCTTGTTAATAGCCATTAAGATATCTCCTCGCTTAGCGTTCAAAGGCGTGTAGCTCGTTCTCTCCACAGGTGGGGTCCTGGAGCGCCGACCTGACTTGCGAGTTTGCGAGGGGGATCGACTTCTTGACTTGCTTCTTCCCCTGCTCGGGGACTTGCTTTTCTTCCTTTTCTGCCCACCATTGCTTGTTCCTTCATTCTCTCTCTTCCTCTTTTCTGGAGGTGGGTTGTCGATCTTTTGGTTGATCTCCTCCTCGGTACCGATGAAATGATCTGTTAACTTGAGATATTCGGTGATGTCCTTTGGTTTGTTAGTTACCACATGTCACTTAAACTCTTTATGGGTGATTCCTTTCTTTGCTGCAGTGAGTTGCACCACCGGGTCGAGGTCCGGTATCTGCAAGCAAGTGTCGTTGAAGCGCTTTATATAGCTTTTGATTGATTCTCCTTCCCTTTGAACCACGTTCAGAAGGCTTTCCTGTGATTTTGGACACTTCTTGCTGGTAATGAAGTGCGCAGTAAACAGGTCGGCGAACTGGGACCAGCTTTTGATGGAGCTTGGCGTGAGGTTCCGATACCAAGTTCGGACTACCCCCTTAAATGTAGTGGAGAAGGCCACACACACATGCTTCATCAGCCCCAGTTAGGTGCATCTGAGACTGGAAAGAGTCCACATGGTCGTTGGGGTCAAACGACCCGCCATACTTGTCTAATGGGGGCATCTTAAAATCTTTTGGCATTGGAGTTGCCAAGAGCTCGGGAGACAGAGGGGATGATCGGCAAAGTAGTGGAGGTGTAGTCTTCGTAGCCACCGAGCTCGCTTCTTCCTTTCCTTTGGCTTGCTCTTCTTAATGTTCTGGCTTCACCAGCGGACTGTCTCTGGCCGAGGGGCTGCTTGTTTTGCAGCGTCGCCGCTGCTGCTTCTTCACTGACTCGGCATTGGTGCTGACTTCAGTCTCGTCTGGTACTTCGGCCTTGTCGCGAGGTAGATCCTGGTTCTTTCTCGATGGGTTCCCTTGGTTGTGGGGCTCAAACTAGCTATCACGGGGGACGGAGAGGTCTTGTCTCGAGTTCGCACCTCAAACTCCGAACTGGTTATTATCTGCTCGTGAGCCATCATTTTCTTGCTGGGAGTATCGAGGCGGATTGGGTTGACTATCCTTGGACCTGTCTCTGAGATTTCCTTGCGAGACTGGAGGAGTGTGCTGACCATCTCTCCCCCCACGGGGCGAAACCTGACTCCTGAGAGGAATCGGTACTTGCGAGGTCTCTTCACCTCGATGGGGAGGGGAGATCAGATGATGTTCTGGTTGGTTCCAGGCCAATTCAGGTTCTGGCCCTGACGGGGCCCTGGGTGCCGGGGTGGAATCGGCTGTTGGTTTGGCTTTAGTGGAGGGAACTAGTGTTGATTCTGCTGGTACTGTTGGAATTGTTGGACCTGCTGCATTTGGATCTGAATTGTCCGAACGCACTGAACGAGGTCATGAAACTGGGAATGCCCGATTCCGGGGGGAACCACGGATGGCTCAGAGAAAGTCGCGCCTACCACTGGGGGAAGTGGGACGCTCACTTGCGCGGTGCTCTGTGGTGCGGACAGTGACGGGACTCCGGACATTGTGAGCGGAATAGTGAACTGGCCGATGCATACCGTAGGACCTTGGGGGAAGGTTGATTGCTGAACTTGCCCCCTGGTGACGTTCATCTCGATACTTTTTCCGGTGTGGCTGGAAGATGCCATTGAGGTTAAGATTGAGTTTGAAACTGTAAAGAAATAGGGATGACCTTTCGATCGTCTTCCCACAAACGATGCCAATTGATGGTGCGCGATCTGGCTACTCCTAGCTGGAAGGTGATCCGAACTCCAATTGGGTGGCGAGCTGGACCGATCTGCAAAACAGTGGATCAGAGAACCCGGGGCAGCTAACCCGGCAAGGTCGCTCCGATGCTTAAGTCAGTACTTATGTTGTGAATGCGAGCTGAATGCTTGAGAGCTTGAGTGCTAGTGAGTAGAATAATCACGCGTACCTTTGCCTTGAGGTTTCATGTCTTTATATACTGGAGTAGTCGTGGGCCTTACGAAAGATCTCCGAGATCTCCGGGCTGTGCAGATAAGGTTTGTTCCGTTTTTGAAGGAGAGCAGTATGTTGATAAGGTTTATCGTTTTACCTCCGATTCAGGTGGAGTTAGGACAAGTTCTCATCGTGGTCTCGAGAAATTTGGGATCTGTTGGGGAGGCCTTTGGAGTCGGTTAAGTGGCGTTTTGGCTCATTAGCTCCGAGCTGGCACTTTGATTCTTTAGTCCCGAACTGGATTGGGTGTCGAGGTGCCTCTACACTGAGGTGGTTTTTTGGGCCGAGGTGGCTGAATACTAGAACTCCGAATGTTGTGAACTGAGCTTGCCTGGCTGAGTTGTCACCCCTCGATCAGATCGCGCCTACGTGTCCCCTTCTTGCTAGGTCGTGCCAAATCACCCTTCATCATAACCCATTCAGATTACAATTTATTAGCCTTCTATGGGCTGATTGGCAATGGAAACTCCATTGTGGCATAACTTCAAGTTTTATTACAAGGGCTGAGACTTGCAGATGAAAAACATATTAAGGGATTGTTAATGGAGAGGGATTCAAAATCCATTATGATGAAAGGGCAAATGGGTGGTCCATGGAAATCATCGATATATAAAAGCAGGAAAGCAAAACAACTATGTGTTAAGCTGCAAACAGAAATCTGCTAGTTTCCAAGATCAACAAATTCCTTAGCTGATTCCCTCACCTGGGGAGTGGACAGACAGGGTTGTTTGGGGGGAAATATCCTTTGGATTAAAGAAAGCGTTTTATTGGTATGAAGCTATTGAAGGAGGAAGGTTCTTGATCTGGTCTTAGACTTTTCATCTTGTCTCCCTGAATGTGCACCTTGTACATTTTCTTGATGTTAATAATTTTTTTTTTCGGTTACTGATAAAAAAACTTCCTTTAACCAATTTTTATAGGACAAAATTGCTCAGAGAAATGTAATGACTGATTTCTTAAGTGAGGATTTCTTGGAGTTACTTCATTACTTTCATTAGCAGAATTTGTGGTACAATTGCATGCAGTGCTATAGTAGCTTATTTAGGGGCCATTACTTGTGTAATGGCAAAATCTTGGACCGGCAAGTCTGATAATGCAGGTTCGAGTCTGAGAACAACCACTTTGTGCCAAAAAAGGCCAAAGGTTAGGACCATATCAAATCTACCCTCCCAAGACCCTGAATAGCACCAACATTGGGTAATTGTCTTTTGCTATTGTAGCTGACTTGTGGTATGAATAAGGGTCTATTCTTTCAATTCTTAATTTGTATTTGTAAGACTGAGTACTCATTATCTCCTTTTTTTTTGATGAATGATCATTATCTCCTTTTCTTACTGGCTGTTCTCTCTTGATTAAACACACAACAACAAAAAAGGGCTGGCAGAAAAATAGAAAACCAGGAAATCAGAAAGTAACCAGTAAGGAGCGC